CTGCAGAGTGACTAGTGGTTTAAACTGCTAACCTTTTAGTTAACAGCCCAGAACTCACTAAAATCACTGCACCACCAGGACGCCTGAGGAAATGAGAAGGGGTCCTAACAATGTGTGTGAGAGTGCAAGTGTGTACACGCAGTGGTGAGTGTGTGTGTAACCATGTGATGTGTGTGACCACGTGTATTGTGTGCAAGTGACTGTGTGAGACCCTGTGTAGGGTGTAAGGGGTTTGTATGTGTGTGACCATATATGTGTCTTTGTGTGTGAACCCACACATATCCTAATGAGATAAACAGCTCTAAGACTATAGTTGGACTTCTGGTGTGGTTCTGTAGGATCAGCACTGGACTGTGACCCACAAGGTCAGCAGTTCAATCTCACCAGCTACTCCTCGGAAACTCTATACAGGGTTGCTGGGAGTTGAAATTGACTCCATGGCACTAAACAACAAGGACAAGACTATAGTCAGAAAGGGTCAGGCCATTTTATTTCTGTTATTTATTAGTATAATTTCATTCTTGTATGTCAACAGTGAAAGCAATTTTGAAAAAATAAATTGTCAAATGCTTGGCTAAGATTTTTCACAGGGAGGCATAGTTCTAGGATTGTCTGATCATATCCTTGCAGTGTGGATAAACAAAGGCCTTGAGTCATGTTCCCTGATGTGACATTTCCCCTATCCTTTCTCTCAAACTCAGTTCAATGGTGATCTTTTCTTTTAATGCATACGTTGATCATTTTATTCACTTTAAGACCTCATGGGGTGAATTTCAAGAAATTCTCCTTACTCATAAGCATCAGTTTCAACTGGTACCCAAGCTTACTCAAGTGTCTGAGAATGAATATGTAGGTCTCCTAAGGAGAGGTGACAGTGAGTCAGCAAAAGCTGCCTGGTGGGTCCCAGAGGATCCCTGAAGACCCATGCTGAGCACCAGCCCATACTTAGCATAACAGTTTCAGACAACTCTTTTCCTTCAGTCTGAGAAACTTGGGAACCCATGGCCTAGTTCTACGAAACCTCTAACAAGCTGTGTGAACTACTCCTGCCTCTGAACCTCCATTTCCACATCTGTAAAATGAGCTGATTTGAACAGCATTTCTTAATGTGTGTTCGGTGTGATATGAGTGCCCAAAAAAGCGCTGCTGTTGCTGTTTTTCAGAAGAAGCTTTGCATAATTTGTCCTCTTCAAGATTCACAATGCCATTTGCCATTTGTAAAGAAATCTGTTTAAAATGGTCTAAACCTGTTCCTCAAGCTTTTTAAATCCCTTTTCACTCAAAACCTATTAACACCTCACAGAAATCAGAACTCAGGGGATTTGTTCCATCTGGTGAGGCTCCTTCCAGCTCAACAACCTGTGATTCTGACACCATAATAAGAGGCACTTGCAGGAGACCGCCTCTTCCCATCATTCTGGAGGGTTTTCTCTGTTTGCTTTCTGACTGCGAAACAATGGGCCCCAAAGAATACTGACATCTCTCAACATAGCGGGTTCCAGAGCAAGGACAAGCACTTGGGTGCTCAAGATAGTTCTTGACAGGTGGGAAGATTGTAACTTTTATATTTATTTTTTATCTAAAAATAAGGAAGCAGTCAACGTTTATTTCATATGCATATTTTTTCTGAGAAGTGGCTGGTGAGTTTGAACCACTGACCTTTTAGTTCAAGCCCACCTTGCAATTGCCATACCAGGACTGCTGGTAACATATATATATGTTAATCTGAACCACCTCGATGACACTTAAAATCAGCAACAGCAATATAAATATTTATTGTTGTTGTTAAGTGCCTTTGAGTCAGTTCTGACTCATAGCAACCCTGTATAGGGTTCCCAAGGAGAGACTGGTAGGTTAGAAGCCCAATACTTATCTTATAGAGCCATACCAGGATGATATATCTGTATGTATGGTGGTGGTGGTTATATGGCCGTGGAGTTGATTCCAACTCATAGCCACTCTGTACAGGGTTTTTAAGGCTGTAAATCTTTACGGGAGCAGAAAGATCTATATGTATAGATAAGGATATATATGTGTGTGCGTGTGTGTATATATGTGTATATCCGTATATATATATATGGAGAGAGAGAGAGCTAGCTAGCTAGCTAGCTAATTACATATATCAAAGCAGGAAAAAAAAAAATGAGGCTTTCTGCTCCCATAAAAATTTACAGCCTTAGGAGGGAAGATGGCGGATGAGCAGAAGCTCCCTCCCGCAGCTCAGCCTGTGTGTACTACTTCAATCGCATCACTAATGCCAGCCAGTGGGAGTGACCCAGTGGCAACAGCAGCAGCAGCCATGGTGGCAAAAATGGGCAGGGGGAGCCTACCAGGGTTCGCTACTCTCACCTGCTGGTCAACTACAGCCAGTCACGGCGACCCTTGTCCTGACGGCAGGACATGATCACCAGAACCAAGGAGGAGGCCCTGGAACTGATCAAGTCGGGAGAGGGTGACTTTGAATCTCTGGCCTCACAGTTCAGTGACTACAGCTCAGCCAAAGCCAGGAAGATCTGGGTGCCTTCAGCAGAGGCCAGATGCAGAAGCCATTCGAAGACGCCTCATTTGTGCTGCGGATAAGGGAGATGAGTGGGCTGGTGTTCACGGATTCCTGCATCCACATCATCCTGTGCACCGAGTGAGGAGGAGCACAGCCTGGGCCCACCATCCAGCTCTCCTCCACATGCAGGTTATACAGTATTTATTCTTCCCACAATGGCTTGGAGGGCAATCTGGGACCCCAGTCTGCTCCCTGTTGGGGTGATCCCTGCTAGACTCCACCCTCTGCATTTTAAGGAATAGACTTCAGAAAGGCTGTGGGGGAGGGAAGGGGGCTTCCAAACAGGCAATGACCTATCCCAAAGAGGAGGCCTAGCCCTCTGGGTCGCCCCTCCCCCAGTCCAGGAGGGCAGGAGAGGTGGCTTCTAGTTGTGCTCTGTTCCTCTCTTCTGCTGCAAAACACAGATGCTTGACTTGGGGGTTTACGGTGGCCTGGCTCTCAGGCCCTCTCAGAGGGTAAGCCAGCACCCTCCCCTACCCAACATTAAACCTTGGAACCACCAAAAAAAAAAGATTTACAGCCTTGGAAACGCTATACAGAGTCACTATGAATTTCCAAAGCAATAGGTTTAAAGCTTGATCTTTCATATGTCAATAACATATACAAGACTCCCAGTAAGGTGGATTGGCACAGTGGCATAACACAATTGTGAGGATGGCACAGGACTGGGTGGTGTTTCATTCGGTTCTTCATAGTCACTATGAGTCAGAACAGATTTGATTTCACCTAACAACAAAGGAGCTCTGGTAGCATAGTGGTTACATATCGGGCTGCAAACCACAAGGTCAGCAGTTCGAAACTACCAGCTGTTCCACGGGAGAAAGATGAGGCTTTCTACCCCCCCCCCCCCCATAAAGATTTACAGCCTCGGAAACCCTGTACAGACTCGTTAAGAGTCAGAACCGACTCCACGGCACATAACCACCAACAACAACAAAGGAGCTCTGGTAGCGTAGTATTTACGTATATGGATGCGAGCCGCAAAGTCAGCAATTCGAAACTACCAGCTGTTCCGCGGGAGAAAGATGAGGCTTTCTGCTCCTGTAAAGATTTACAGCCTCAGAAACCCTGTCCAGGGTCGCTATGAGTCAGAACCGACTCCATGGCACTTAACTACCAGCCACCACCAACAGCAGCAGCAGCATACTTATATTGGAAGTATCATTTCAAAAAGTATTCACTACATGGTTTAAAATATTTGAAGACCACTAACCTAGAAAACGTGACTGAAGAAAATATTAGTTTATATTGAAAACCACTAATTCACTCCATGCTTAGTACAATGGACAATAGATGCATAGCATCTCACACATGTGTTTATGTCTTAGCTGCCTGTTATTTTCTTATCTTTATGCGTTTACCATTTTTCTATCTACATAGGGCCTGGAATTACCATGCTTTATACCTCAATTTAAAAGTAATGTATTAAAAAACCTAGATATATAATATTTTTTTTAAATGCAAGTTCTGGGTCTAACCAGTATTTCCTGGAAATGTTTCCATTACATCATGAAATATCATTTCCTGTTGTCTAGTCACATGTTGTACATAATCTAGCAAATAATAAACACCTTTTGTAAGATTCAAAATAATAAAATGAAAACCCAATACCATTACAAGATTGTTCCCAATCTTGAACTCTGGTTCTATGTCTTAGAGGCAACCCCAGTTATAATTTTCTTAATAGTTTCAGCAAAAATCTTATATATTCGTTGTTGTTAAGTGTCATCGAGTTATTTCCAATTCATAGTAACTCTGTGTAGGGTTTCTGAGGAGCGACTGGTGGGTTTGGACCACCAACCTTGCAGTTAGTAATCCAGTGTAGTTGGATGTAATTATTTATTACAGGGTATAATGTGGCCATCTATGGTCCCTATGGAGACTCTATGTAGCATAAATGGTTAAGTTCTCGACCTAGTCAAAGGTTGGTGGCTCAAATACACCCGCAGACAACTTGGAAGACAGGCCTGGCAGCCTGTTTCTGAAAGGTCACAGCCATTGAAAACCCTACGGAGTACAATTCTACTCGGACACACATGGGGTTGCCATGAGTTGCAATTCACTGGGACACAAAACTAGCAATATGGTCCCTACAGGATAGAATCTTGAGAAACAAAGCAGCACAACTGGGAAGGTACAGAGAGCTTTGTAGCCACTAAGTCTTCCAGGAAGAGAGCTCCTTTACCTCCACTTAAAATGCTTTGGCTGAACACAGACATCAAAAGAGAAGTTCAACCTAGCCTTAACATTGCTATCTCCTTTTGACACAATGAAGTACTTGTGCCCCATGAGAGGCTGTTTACAATGATGTAGAGAAACTGGCTCTGTCTCTGGAGGGAAAACAGATCCCTGTAAGGACACTGTAACCCTCAGCCCTCTTGGGGGTGGTCTCACTGTGCCCGCTGTGAGGAGTGCCCTCCCTCCCAACTGATGACTTTACCTTGGCCTGGGCATTTCCAGCAGCCTCCTGGACTTTCTGCTTTCCACAAGAATCATAAAGCAAAACAAGAACAAAATGAGTCTTGTAAAATGAGGCATTTTTGTGGATGACTATAAGATGCAACAAGCTGATTTTCAGTAGTTACTTGCAGCAGGGCAAATTCCCCTGGCTTAACCAGTGATTCTGTCTGCTACTTCTTGACGCCACTTCTCAGAGGGACTGGAAGGACATGACTAACAAGCCTGATGCTTTATACTCTCTCTCTCTCTCTCCACCTCACCCCCAGCTGTAATACAACCACCAAGATTTTCCCTCCCTACTACTTAGCGATTGACTATTAGTCAAAGAATCTGTCCTCCTGTTCAATTCTGCTTCCGCTGAATCCTACAACAGCTTTGACTAAAACTGTGTTAATAATATAGATATAAATTAAATCTCTTGAACGTGTCAGCTTTTTGCTGAGATCATTAATCCTTCTCTCTGGTTGCATAAAACCAGTCTGTCATATCCAACAGGGAGCCAGTTAGGATTCTAAGTGGATTTTCTGGGAAGACTCAGGGACAGAAGATGAGTGCATGAATATGTCAGTACAGCTTGGACCGCTTCCTTCAATACCTTTGATTCTTGATCATATGCTTCCTCTTGAAATGGTTAAGCATCAACCATTTCTTTTTGGTACAGTGTATTCCTTCCATCTTCTTTTTTGTTTGTTTGTTTGAGGCTTTTATTGTATATTGAGTGAGTAAAGGCCACAC